ACACACACACACACACACACACGTACTTCTATCTATTTAAGGACACTCATATGCATAATGTTTTCCCTATAGCCCCTAACTCTTAATATTTACCATCACAACTAAAAGACTAACCTGAACCTGGCCCCAACCACTCTACCATGAGTCCTAATCCTAACCACCTTGGTTTGAAATAAACAAAATAAAACATGAGGAGTTTAAAACTTTCTTTGGGACTATACCCACTAAAATAACTGCAAGGTCATAAGGTCTTGAGCAACTGATCATCCTTTTTATATGAGATGGGGATGGAGAGCTATTGATGGACGTGCGTTGGCCAGTGCAGTCCCTTTAGCTCCCCCTTTTTCAACTGCCCAGTAGGCAGACGAGGCAGGGGGCCTCATCTAGATCTTAATAGAGACCCTAACCCTAAAAGCAAGTCTTAACGGGACAGTTCACACACGAACACTGCTCTAGAGCAGGGACGTTTAGGCTAAAAACCCGGAGTAAATGGCGACGTTTCAGGTCTAATTTGAATGTCAGGGCTTACGGATACCTGGATGACGCCACAGGAGCAGGATGTTTTTTCTGCTTGAAGAATCAAACCATTTACTTCATTTGTATTGGATTTGGCTGCAACGCTGTTTACCCCTGAAACTCCAAAAGTCTTAACACTAAAGGGTGAGGTCGGATCAAAAGGTCTTCACTTTCAGTTCACACTGTAAAGTCCACGCTTGAGGTCTATACTCAAAAAGCTCCTCACAAAGAAAAAAGCACTTTTTAAGTTCTCAGCAGTGTCCTGTGTTAATTGAGCCAAACACAACTGTGATCTGGCTACAGCTACACTGACAGACGGACAAGTGCATCAACTCCTCCTCCCTCCCTCCGCTTTCTGGCAGCATATTCTCTGTTTATTAGTTTTGCTCTTCCCTCAAACATTTTGTCAAGGAAGGTCAAACGCCGGGCTCAGAATCTGGGATGAAAGCAGAATAATTAAGGGGCATATGTTACATATTAAAATGTTTTTTAATGCTTTTACATTTTTTCTCTGAGGACAATACATTTTCACTTTCCTCAAGTTTCTAGATCAAAGAATAATTCATTTATTTGCAATGCAGCACAATACTTGTCTCACTGCTGTTCTGAGTTGACACGCAAGTCAATCATTATAGAATTAATCAATATATCATGTTTGAGACAACAGCATTATATCATGTCGTCAGGGAGAATGTAATGTGGCTCTGATAAGTAGAAAATATTCTCACATGGATATTAGTAACACTTATTTGTTGTTACAGCTTTGTCATGCATGTGAAGGAATCTTTACTTCTACAGAATTCATCATCTTTAAAACGCGATCTCCTTCGTTCACCCTCATCAGTGCAGCAGATGAATTGGTCAATGCAAACGCCAACACAACTTTACTTCAATACTTTTATGGTGTGTATAGACGTGTGCTTGCAGGTCATGTACATGGCATAGATACTTGTAATATTGGTGACTTAATCTCATATACAGTAAATTGGTGGGTAGGATCTTTAAGGCACAGCTATGCACATGTTTTTTTTTTTCAAACCACTTGTTTGGCAGTGGCTGTATATTTCACAGTGGGCAGTAGTGTCACTGAAGATTCAAAGACAGTGGCGCAATGATGAAAATGTACTAACTTCAAGCTCATTCAACAAAGTTCACCGTTATGATTACTCAATGTTCTATCAAAACAATCACTGAATGTCCCACAGTTCCAAAGATTAGATCTAATACCTGAGATTATTCCATGTAATCTAAGCCATTTGCTCATTTCACAGCTGATCGTATCTCCAAGAAAGTGATACAAGGCAAACAATCACTATGAACCCTTGTGCTGGTTTATTATAACAGCAGGAGCTGCCTCTTCATTCAGCTTCTTTTTCGCTTTGTCAGCTGCTCCAATGGTTGGAATGTGTTAACATCCAGGATCTAACTCCAAATACCATGTCTTACCACTGCAATTAGCAGGAGCTGTCTGGAGAGGAGGTCTACTCCTTCACCACAGTAGTGATTCAGCTGAGTCACAATGGCAGGACATGACATGGCTTTTGCCTTCAAACTTTGAAACTTTGAGTACACATCCGACCAGCACTCTATAGTCAGTGGAGGTGGGACAACATGATGTCAGTCTGTTTGACATGTGATCTTCTATGTCCTCAGATAGCCAACAGCAGTGGTTTGCAACTATCGGCTCACCAGCAATAACAATATAATTCTCTTTATATCAACATATCGGACCGACAAAGACATTCACGTGTGCAGCAGGTGTAAATCTCGGTCATGACAACATTTACAGAATCACTTTTTTACAGTTTGTCTCTTTAAAATTAAACTACAACATTGGCTTTGTTGCTGCAATTCTTTCAATAGACCTGAATTAGAGCTTTTATTTTAAAAAGTTGTGAAAATGGGTCTGAAGATTGTGTTGAATATCAGACCTCTGAAATAGTGACATGCAATGCATGAAAACATATTACCTGTTCAGTTAATCACTAGTTTATAAAAGTCAACATCTGAAGGATAGAAGTTTTGCCTTTCGTGAAGCTAGAACAATGATGATCCAAGAGCTTGTTCTCTACAGTCAGACCTCCTTTTCATTATGAGCAACATTAACACTGAGTGACATCCTGTGGACATGAGCCACACAGACAGGAGTGCTGTCAAGTAAACTGAGGTCAAAGAATAACCATGTTCCTCTGACAGAGGCCTGTTTTAAATGGTTGCACATAACCCCTGATTATTGTGAATCTCCACTGCCTTGAGGAAGATGTTATCAAGGGGAGACAAGAGACTGAGAATATTGTATGGCTTTAATTTAACAAAACAGCCCTGATACTGGACCAGTGTAAGCCACTGACTGAGACATCTGGGTAACTTCCTGAGCTGCTGGGGAACTATGTGTTCTTTCATCACGAAGAAAAGACATACAAGATCATCCCATGCTCTACAAGATCAGCCCATGTGATGAAAGATGCCACTGTGAAGGTTGAAGGTACAGGTACTGCATTTATCTGTCACACGAATATATAGGGATGACAAATATCCTGCAGACTTTTATACTACCATCAAAGTATTCCACTAAGCTTTATTATGTTTTGACACAAATCCTGTTTAAGTAAAGTTTGAGTCAATAAATTATCACAATGGTTATAAACTGACGCATCAGACTGCTTCATATTGCGAGCTGGTACTAATAATGGGACCGTATATATACACTATATACATATAAACAGGTTTGAACAAACATTTTTGTTAATTTTGCATGTTCTCACTTCATCCTCATGGATTATTGACTGTATGTTGATCTGCAAAATGTGCATTTTTATCAATTTAACATGAAATCTACAAAAAAACTATACTGTGCAGAAATGCAAGGGTCTTAATATTTTCTGAAGCCACTTTAAGAACAATAGGAGAAGAAGATAGAGTGGGTCATGCACAAACCAGAGGTTTGTTCCCCAATTCCTCCATTACGCATGTAAGTGTCCTTTAATTGCCCCTGATGGCTGTTCCAGCAGTGTCTGAGTGATGCATGGTAGATAGACCCACATGCATGAATGTGTGTGTGAATGGATAAATGGCAAAACGTTACTGCAAAGAGCATTGAGTGGTCAAGACTATAAGCTCAATGTAAATACAATATAAATACAAACCATTGACCATTTACATGATAACAGAAATTTCTCTTACCTTCGCAGCAGTCCTGCCACATGCGCAGGTCAATTTGAGGGATGTCGTCGCAGCTGCCATAGCCATGGGGCAGCTCTGCCACCCTGAAGACGTCGCGCTGGATGCGTGTGATGTTGTCGCCATTGTCACACAGCACCCGTGTCAGCGAGGTCTGTTTCAACTGAGTCAACTGGGCAGGAGTGAACACGCCTGGGTTTTCGTACCAGAATCTGAAGGAGATGTGGGGAAAGGGAAGTGACTCAGATGAGACATGAGATAAATTTCCTCTCTCTTATTTTGATATGATGGACAAACTCGTAAGGTAGTAAGGTTCGATTCCTTGAGAAAAAACTAACATGTTTACATTGACACCATTATTCCTATATTAACCAAATTAAGACAATAGTCTACATAAGATAAGATATTGCCATAAGAATAGCCTTAACAAGAAAAAGTTCATACTCAACATAAAAATAATCATATTTAGACAATAGTGTACATAAGATACTGCCATGTAAATAGCAATGATAACCTTAACACAAAAAAGTTCATACTCAACATAAAAATAATCATATTTAGACAATAGTGTACATAAGATACTGCCATGTAAATAGCAATGATAACCTTAACACAAAAAAGTTCATACTCAACATAAGAGATAATCAAATTTAGGCATTTACAGTATTCTGATCTTAGACGCATTATTTAGACATGTATATCACATAATAACATCCTGTTGGAGCAGCACTGGACTTTGTTATCTCGACATACGGCAGTTACCAACTACTTGACGACTCTTATCTTTGGTAAACACAATGGAAAAATAAAAAGGGGGAGGTTCAATACCACAAGCTCTTTCTATTGGATCAGTTGAATGCTCAATAAAATGTTCGGTAACAGATTATTTATAATCCTGAATGATCCCAAAAAATATTGCTGAAAAGCTTTAATTTAGTTTTTAATCACAGGAAAATGTCGAAAAAAGAAACCGCATTGAAAAAGTATGCTTGAAAATTTCTGTAAGTGGAGACATTCTTTCATGTCATCAGGAAACGTGTTTGTGAACGGTGAGATGAGATGTGTTGTGATCTTACTCTACCTGTCACCGTCTCGCAGGCGTTTAAACTGAGCTGCCAGTAGGCACATGAGGGTGGGCCCCAGTCGACTGCCGGGGACAAGGTCTTCAGCCATCAGGGCAGGAAACAAGTCGACGTTCAGAGGAGTGCCGTACAGCCTGCCGCAGAGAAAAAACAGTCAGGGAGACGGCAATATGGAAATACACTATGTTGACTGTAGTCCAGTTACCTTGTTCCACTTGTTGCAAACTGGTATCAAATCAAGTCATGTAAAATTAAGTAATAATTATAATCTTGAGTGTATAATTACCTCTGTAGTTTCTCTCTGACATTTGGATTCTTAATCTCGTTCCTCAATTCATCAAACGTATGAGCTGAGGTCAGGTTACAGAAGGTCCTGTAATCGTTGTACGGAGGTATGCCGTGATCCCTTCCTCTCTGTATATTCATGGCAGCCAGGTCCAGAGCCACGGCATGGGCCATTGAGAACAACCTCTCTGTCAGCTCTGTATTTAGCAGCTGAGTGGAAACCCGCATTTTACCGGCAACGCCAAACAGCCCGCGAATCAGCGGGTCAATGCCACCCTCGTTGACGATGCGGAACGGGGAGAAGAAGGCGCGGTGCAGAGAGATGTGCCCTTGGGGGATTGGCTGGAAGTCCTCATCCAATCTATAGAGGATGGGGTTGATTAGGGTGTGGCCGAAGCGGAAAGCAGCGGTGGCGAATGCACTGAGGATGCCGGCGTTAATGTTTGGGTCGTAACCAGCGTATGATCCCATCATCTTTACGCCCACCTCACCCAGGATCTAGGAGATTGAAAAAGGTTTAAGTTGTTCTTATTATCACCTTCAGAAATGATCAGAGACAAAGAGCAGAATAACAAAGAAACATTGGACATCAGCTGTTCGCAGTTACCTTTGGCAACCAGTGACTGTAAGTGATGTGCTGCATCTGGGCTCCAACGATCTTCCTTGCCTCGTGGTAGATGGTGTCCCCGTCCCAATGAGGATTCAGCCTCAGTAGCTCTGTGGCAATGCGGTTATGTTCTCTAAACCACACAGTGTGCATGGCAGTTAATCCAAGCTGCTCATTTGCACGGTGGTCTCCTGCTAAGAAACATGGAATCGGACTCTCGTTCTCATCCCTCATACACTCAGTTGGTGGTCCAGTGGCAAATGGTAGAAGTGGCTTCCCTGTTCTCTGAATGATACCTTGGCGGAGCAGACCCCTTTGACTGGCCAAATCTCGGACCTCCTCCGATTCGTGCCGTGAGCTGCCGTAAACGTTTGAAGCGTCAATGTAAGAAGTTAACTGGTTGATTTGCTCTCTCGGATAAACACTGTTCATAAGTAAGGATGTCATCCCGCTGCCACACACGGGGCTGGATCGCACAAAGAACATGCAGCGGGCGCCACTACGCAGCTGCCGTGCGTCATTGGGAGGGAACTGGATTGGGAAGCACGGTGGGTCATTGGTGCAGACCTGAGCGCAGAGCTGACCATCGGAGAACCTCGACTGGCTGAGGGCAGCCACCGTTGAGTCCAAATCGTGGTCAAGGAACTGACCCCACTGCATCAGCATGTGAGTGTAGCGGTCGTCAGGAGTGATGGTCTCTGTTCCGATCATTATGGTGGACACGAGCCTCGGCAGCGGCAACCTGTATCCATTGTGAGGCTGCTCATTGGCGCCCCTCGGCAGGTTAAAGCCGTTATCATAGACGGACTTCAGGAGACGCTCAAAGGCAGTAAGCGAGGCGCCCCACATGGGGTGTTGCAGGTTATTGCAGGTGCCGTCATGGCTGCGATACTTCTGGTGGAAACAAATGTCAGAGCAGTTGTTGAAGCGGCGGTGGGCTGTGCAGCCAGACAGATTGGCGATCACATCCAGGAAGTGGGGAGAGACCAGGTCGTTGTAGCGAAAGGCTGTTGAATGACAACATAAGAGGATACAACAATTTTGTACAAATTAGCTGGAACCAAATTAGATGGAAGTATCTTAAGTAATATTCGGAAAGCTGATATTTCTTCTGGTGATAAATTAGATTAGAAAATTAGCAGAAAGAAATAATTTATCATTTTTTGATGATGTTTATATTAGTTGCTTATAGAATATTCCATTCCAGTTCCTGTTTACAAAACTTAGAGTTTAGTCGGATTATAACACAAGTCATTACGTATTTTTCCACTAGTATTAAAACCCAAAGGTGAAATTATTTAATGTACGATGATACAGCACACTTAGTTTTGGGTGTTTTCTATGTATTTTCCCATGTTGTTTACACCCAGGGCATACATCTTCCTGTAGTTTTTAACTGCATGTCAATGTTGTAAAATGCTGGGAAAACTCCAATTTAAGGTTACAATAGGATTAAGATGAATTCATACAAGGTTGGAATAATACATGTCTCCATTGCTTATTCCGAGTATGACCTTAAGTTCGTCAGAAAATTATATTTACATGACAGCGTCTAATTCAGACAAATTGGGTTAATATTTGAATGTTGGTGTCCGTGTAAACTTAGTGACTCATTCACTCAAACTGTAAACAACCTCCTGACCTGAGAGTTCAGGTGGCAGTATTTCAATAACCTGCCCCGACTCGCACCGACATGTGAAAGCACCAGTGTGCAGCACATCAGCGTGTTTGTGTGTCTATGATGTGTTAGCAGTCTGGTGCTGTGGTTACGCATGAGAACGCGTGGTAAGTGCGTACGGCCAACCGCTATGAGGGCTAGGTAAGACTCCCTCTCCACGCACAGTCTACTTCGCACATTATTGGCTTGTTGTGTGGTTTTGTGTGTGTGTGTGTGTGTGTGTGTGTTAGAGGAGAACTGGGCACAATGTGGCTGAAGGAGAGATACAATAAACAGCACATTTGTTTCTGCTGATGGGCTGAAATCTCTTTGTTAACTTGGTTTGAGGCCAGTGCAACACATTTGGTTGTTGACACAAGTAAAGAAAACAGTGTCTCTCTTTGTTCCTACTCCACAGAGCTCTCTCTTCTTCCAACCCTACTTTTAAACCAAAATGTCACAATAGACAAACTTCAAATTCTTTCCTCTATAGATTTATAATATAGATAATATTCTTTGATTCAGCCAAAACTTTCCAAAGCAGCATAGCTACAGACTCTGGATATATCTAGCCTGTTTAACCTTGGTGCTGTTAAATCAATCCTTCCATTACAACGAGTGTGTTCATGCACCATTGTGTGTGTGGAAATATATAAGACGCTCCAGCTTTCTTTCTTGGACCGCTCGACATTTTTCCATGATTATGTGACTGCAAACAAAGGCAGATGCTTATGCATGTAAACATCCAAATTAACCCATGGTCTGCCAATCTCATTCATGCATAATTGAGAAAATGTGCACACCGACCCAAGCCACGTTAAAATTTGTCATGTGCTCGGTCGTGATTGCAGGTTAGTGTTGTCTGGTGTGACACAAGGCTAATAAAACTGTTTATGGGCTCCTCGTCAACTGCTCTATGATTACGTCTCCCCGCCTCAGGTCCTGCTTAAGAGAAAATGGCACACAGATGGAGTGATTGCACACAGCCAAATGTTGCTCGCAATAACATGGTAATTCATAGAGTAGCTGGGAACTGAATCACTGGCTGAGACTCTGCTCAGGAAACTGGCTGGGCGCTTCAAACTGAATACACAATGAGACTTTCGAAAGATGTTATGTATATCTTGCAAAAATTGTCAAAACCAATATTTTTTATTACTGAAACAACCCACAAACATGTATCTTGTGTATCTGCATCTACAGTTATTCTAGGATTATATGTGAGAGTGTGGCTGCCCATGTTGTCAAAGTGGTTTACTTGTATTGGCCATTGACTGTAGCTTTCCCAGCCTTTTTAAATCTTGGCTGTGAGAATATATTAAGGTACAGATTTGATACATCTGTTTATATTGTGATTCCGCAAGGACTTAATTTACATAATTGATTATTACAAATGCAGTGCCCGTTCTAAATGGTCTGTGGTAATGATGGTTAAAGCTTTCTTTCCAAAAGTGTGAAAGTGACCTGCAATGATTGAGCCACAAGTAAAGACCTGCTGCAGAACCCTTAGCTGAGCCACTGCTGTTATATTTCTTACCTCTGCCAATGTGTTGTGTTTTCATTTTAATTGTCTGTCTATTAGTTAGCAGCATTAGTTCTGGAGTGGATTATCACTGGGAGGATAATGTATGGGTTTAGGGAAACACCCATTACATTTTGGAATTTTCTCTTTCTTTAACTTTCTTTATTCTTTACTGTATTTTTCAACAATTTCTTAATTTCTCAGGGATTATTCATGAATCTTGATTTAAAAGAAATCAGGCGTATTGAGGGTGATATCTATGAGTGAGTGCAATCTGGTGGAGCCTGATTGAATTTAAGGTGACTGTTGGGCCTCAAAGTCATTATACTTATGATAACGTGGAGCTGACGTAGCTTTATTATAATAATTCAATTCATACTTTTAGTATTACTTAACAAAATGTTCCATATTCTTCATTTTACCAGAGGCAACAGACTGATTGTCTGATATTGTCCCTGTTAAAAAAATTCATATCATAAAATTAAGACCCAATTCTTGTAAAAGTAAGATTTCTTGTAAATTTGCAATTTAACTATTGTAAAAGTGAAGATGCACTGTAACTTTTTAGCTGGTAACAGCTTTTGTCATATGTTTTTCAAACACATTGTAGATACAACAAGCAGCACAGTTGGTTAGCAGCCTCACCGGTGCCGTTGGTGTCGACCATGAGACCCTGGTTGACGTGGTTCTGGATGAGCAGAAGAGTTTGCTCGAAGATCTCTCCTGCACGCGCCTGCTCCACTGTGTAGGGGTCACGGGGATACCGGAAAAGAGCTAGCAGCTCTCCTGGGGTACGAGGCTGACTGGAGGGATGAGGGATAGGAAGACAGGGTTTTAGGGAAGTGGGAGAGAAAGAGAAAGTGATGAAGGAGAAGGGACAATTAATATGTTAAGTAGAGGGGAAAAAAACACAGTGGGAAACAGAAGAAAAATGTGTTAGAGTAAAGAAAGACAAATAAAAAGAAAACAGTTGCATGTTCAAAGTCAAACCACATTTTCTGGGTAGATTTTTTTGTTTCTGTTTCTCTTGAGGGCAGGAAAAGAAGGCAGCGTTTTCTCTCACACTTCCAAAAAGATTTCTTCACCACAGCAATAGCAGGTCAGAGAGTTCAAATGAGGAGAAGCCCGAAACATGCACAAACATCTTAGTCATTCCACTCCTCCATCACAGGCCTGCAGCTGGGTTTATGGACAGGACTCTGTGTTGTTACTGATCTCATTCCCTCTTGAAGACCACTGGACTGCTGCAGCACCACCTCAAGTCATTTTTCTAAACATGCATTCAACTGCAGCCTTTAAAGCTCAGCCAGAGTCAGACTTATATGGCCGTGACCATGACGCGAGATGCACAGGTGTTCTACCCAAAACTCTAATTTTATGAGTACATTTAGATGATGTCATAATAAACATGTAAGCCAGGTTACAATCAGAACATGAGCCTTTTATTTGACATCTTGGTTTTCTGATGCCGCAACAACACACTCCACATGTATATGTTTTATAATAACACAGAGGATACATATAGAATATAGAGTATATATGAAATAATAATGACTCTCTCCATCCAGGAGGTTTTGTTTACATTTGGGTTGTTTGTCTGTTAGTTAGCAGGATTACGTAATAACAACCAAACGCATTACCACAAAACTATGTGGAAGGATGTGGAATGGGTCAGGAAAAAACCCATTACATTTTGGTGCAGATCCAGGATTTTCTCCATAGAATTCGTTCACTCTGGCGGTACCAGGGGTGCACAGGCAGAAACGTAGCTCTCACATGCAACTGATTCCAAGTGACAGGTACACAGTCGAAAGAGGAAAAAAAGATTCTCGCAGGAAAAAGCTGCATTACATGCCACTTGCAGGCACATGCACAACTTCACCAGAAACTATGAGGTCTGACTGTCTGCGTGGATGGTAAGAACTTGCTGCAGACAGCTATAAAATGTAGCAATGGAGTATTACACCAAGTTAGAGATGTCTTATGTTACTATGAGAAGTGCAAAACTTATATATGTATATATATATATATTTTAAATATAGCGGGTGCCTGTCTAATATTAACTATGTATTTTATGATAAAACTCCAATTCTAAAACAACCCGATGCAGGTGTGAACTGGGTGAACTGTTTCAAGACGCATTGAAGAAGGTCTAACTGTGCGACAGTTACAGTCAACATCATAATAACAAGTGCTACTAGCTCTTCCTCTGTATTGCTCTTGTTCTATCAGTCTGGTTTTACATTAATTCCATGTGATGTTGAGAGACACTGGTGCTGTCAGCCAAGAAGGAGTGGTGACTGTGTGTCTGTGACAGAGACAGAAATCCCCTCATCTTAATTTAGCTTTCAATTGTGTATGCGTGTGTGTTTGTGTTAGGGTTGTGTTTCTCTGTGTGTCTATGTGTGTTTGTGCACTCACTGTATGTGCATGCCAAGAAAAACACAACAACTAACCACATCAATCGACAGGATGGAAACGCTTGTGAGTTGCATTGAAACCACTGACATCTCTAATCTACTAAGACTTCCCTTTATCACCTCGAGGATTAATACGTTGGCACACCATTTGAAAATAAGTACATTGATAAGGATAGAATGAGGAGCTGATGATAACCAGCCCCAGACACCGACTGCAGCTGTCAGAAAAAATGGCTGTGAGTACCACGCCCTGTGGCAGCGCTCAAATTCAAGTGTTCTGATCTGAGTAAAACTATAAAATATTGTGCAATGAAACAGCAGGGTGTCAGACACAGTCTCTGAAACTTTGAATGGATTCACTCTTGACCTGATGGCTCTTACTCAGACATGCAACTAATTCGCCAAGATGATGAGACCAGCTATTTGTGTTTTAACTTTGGCCCTGAGAGCATGTACGTAGGTCTGGAAGTAAAAAAATTGGTAAGGACAAATTGTTGTTGCAGATTTCTGCTTTCATCTGGTGTACATGACCTTTTCCCTACATTACACACAACATAGTGAGAAAGAACATTTTTCCTTCTTTAGGTAACTCTGCCCTCCAGCCATTAAAAGACATCCATCCATTATCTATGCTGCATGTCCCTTGAGGGTCTTGAGGGCTGGAGCCCATCCCAGATGACATTAGATGTACCGCAAGGCTGACATGAGACATTTTCAGACACGAACTCCGGAGAATGTTCCAAAGATTGGGCCTGTAGGTTTTCCAAAGTTTGCCTTTGACATGGCGTCTAAAGCGTTCACAACAAAAAGAAAAACTCCAGGAAAGTCGGGTGAGGGGTGATGCCTGGGTAGAGCCTGCAGGGGGCAGGAAATGACGTATTCATTCTGAGACGGAGATCATGTGTTTTTGTTAAAGCACATCAACACCAGCATCACCCTTTATCACCAAAAGCTCTTGTATCTAGTTGCCTTTTAAAGTTGACATCTTTCGTCTGCGTCCTCTTTGTGTATTACACCTTTCATTCTGAGATATTGGTATTCATTTTGGTTTATTTCAATTAAGAGTCTCCTATCAATCTAGCCCAAAACTTTGGGGAGGATACTAAAGTACCTGGAGAAAACTCCAATGAGTGAAGTGGCACCCCAAAATATGACATGACAGCATGAAAACTGTCACATATAAGTGATTAAAGCTCCACATTACGGACTTTACATGCTTTAAGATTTTCTACAAAATACCTCCTATCCTATGCGCTAATATAGGAGAATGTGAAGCTGTGTTATTATGTTATTTATGTGTTATTATAAGTAATTTTAATAATAATGTTACAATCAATTCACCATCGAATCAAACAGCAATTCAATTTTAATATTTAAATGTTATGTTATATTACTTTTTGTGGAAGGACCAGTTTGACGTGTCTTTTTTGGAAAGTGAGGACATGCTGGTTGAAGTCAGGGCAAGGAGGTAGGGAATGCAAAACGCAAATTAAAGTGTGTCTGTTACGTGACTCTCTCTTATATATCTTACCCATCAAACAGACGTCTTCTTGTGGACTCAATAGCGCTGTCCACATTACGGATGGCCTGCTCGATGGATGTGCTCACGAAGGTGTCTCCCTCTCTGCTCACTGCAGGAACTGTTGTCAGACAGAGTGAAGTTAAAAAAATAAAAGAACAGCACAAAAACATCATTCACAGGTTGCTCGTAAATTAGCAATAACTAACATCAACTGACATCCACTTTCTCCAGTTGTGGTTATATTACATTTTTTTAAAGAGGCAACGGAAAACTCCCAAGCAGTTCCAAATGGTATTATTGTTTGGTCAAAGTTGTAAAGACGCTGCAGCAGCTAGAGACACTGGTGAATCCCTTCTTTGTTTTTATACACAATGGGTGATGCAGTTTCTTCCTTTGTGCCATAAATCCAGTTGTCATTTTCCTTTGAAAATTGCGTCCCGGTGGCAAAAATAATAACATGGTAAAAACAAGGCTTATGGGGACGAAATAACCGCAGATAGTGTCATTTTCACAATAAAAACTTTAGGCATAAAAGCTGTCTATTTATTTCAGTTCAAATAAAAAAAACCATTTAATTCTTCCAAAAAATTATTTATGGCATACTTATGCTGTTATATAAGGGGTAAAAAAATAATGGTTAGTATATAGAACTTAACCGCAGTGTAAGAGACTTCGGCTTCCCTCCTGTAGCTGGAGTGAACACATTTCTGGCACACTCCTTCATCTGAGTGTGCCACTGAAAACAGAGGAATTGTGATGCGAGGACTAAAGAGAGTCCAACAACCACTGAGCACACTGATGCAGTTTATGGTTCACCAGCAGAGTGCTGTGGTCTGAGCTGAGAGATCTCAGCGGGAAACACCAACACACACAGGGAAAAGCTGATAGGAATCTGATAGCAGTGCAGCAGAGTGTGACACAAAGGCTCACTGACTTGGACGGGTCTCACTCCTCTGTGGACTGTGCACTAATGTGACAACAATTCACACTGAATATACAAAATATATCACCGACCTCTGTCGTGATATTGAGTTTCAGCTCTTTTTGTATTGTAATCATCACTTGTCTTTGTCTCACAGCTAGAAAATCATCGCCCGACGATTCTGCTTCATGTTCTTTCACTTTCTCTTCTTGGTTATGGGTAAATGTTTGATCAGAGAAATCAAATGAAAAAGGATTTGACGCTGATTCAGCACATCGATGCTGCAGGAAAAGAGGGAATGTCACTTGAATGTTTTTTACATTCTTTTTCCCACCAGTGTCACTTTGATCATGAGGGAGGTGCTACATCATTACCCTTCCAGGGTTATTTTGTAGGTTGAACTAACTGTTACCTCAAAGAGACTGCTGGGTCAAACTAATTGTATACAAAAATATACGTTTCCTGAACATTTACTCAGAATTGGCTCCAAAGTAATTGTCACCATAACAAAGGAGTGTTTTGTTTATGAGGATGACTGAATGAATCAATGCATGCAGCAGTTTTAATATCACAGCTCAACAACCACCCCGGCAGATCATCTAATAACACTAGGGCTAACGTTTCTGGATGAAGAGGCTCCGTCAATTTTCATGTTCAATGTTTTACACTTACCCAATATGTTTGATCTAATAATGATTTAAAGGATCTATTTCAGATTTATTTTGTTATATCTTTTGAAATCCTCTTTACATCCTGACAGCAATGAATAAATAAAAAAAACAAAATAACCATCATCTGTGGAAGCTGTCAGGCTGTTAAAAGTTCCTCCTCACTTTATTTATTTTATCACATCTTATTGCCCACCTGTGTACACTTATTGGGTGTGACCATTTTTCTACAAGGCTAGACAGGAAGTCAATGTTGTTTACGTATAATATGATAATTGCTATTATTCTGAATTAAACTCATGTCTTAGACCTACAACTGTTACTATGTGGTAGAGATATATGGATCATAACGTGTGACAAATGAATAATTATTATAAATTACATGACATGCTTATACTCTCACATATTAGTTTATTGTTATTCTCTTCAGCACAAGTACCAATGATGGTAAGGACAAAAGCTGCTGACCTCAGCTCTTTCTTACCTGTCACAGTTAGCACCATGCTAGCAACCTGGTAGCCGATGGGATTGCGAGCGACACACTCGTAGCGTCCACCGTCGGCAGTGCCCACATCCTTCACCTCCAGGTAACCCTCAGAGCTGATGTGGAACTTGCCACTTTCTGTCACCTGCACACCATCCTGGGAAAGAAAGGTTTTGGGGGAGAGAAAAAAGGGTAAAGGTTATGGCCCCGGGGACGGGTGTGAGAAGGTGGGGATCAAATTACGAGAAAGGGATTGAGCGTCAGAAAACCTCGAAGCTAAAATATATTTATCACTAAATCACGTCTTTCTCATTGCTTGCTTTAAATTATAAAAATGAGATTTGAGATATTTCCTGGCCCCAGTCCAACCACTTCAGCACTTCAGCACTTGTCTAACCCCCGTGACCTCATGACCTCAGAGGTGAGACCTGACTCAGCCAACGGGAGCTCGAGCGTCTAACCTTGTTCCACGTGAGGACGGGTTGCGGCTGGCCCTGAGCGCTGCAGGGAATCTGGACGTCCTGGCCAGACTCAACCGTCAGGTCCCTTGGAGCATTTGTGAAAACAGGCGTTACTGAATGAGTTAAAACATACACACACACACACATGCGCATGTGTTAATGATTATGCACCAGTGTACAATGTAAAATAAATCTTGCAATTAATCATAGCAGACACAATGTTCTAATCTTAGCGTTTTTTTAAAAATGCATACACACGCTCACAGTGTTTGTATAAAACACTGCAAAGGATATTTTTCTTTCCTCTGTCACATGGCTGCAAAACATTCACCAGCTCTAAGACAATGCTCTGCTTCGTTTGAAAGAAAAAGTCTTCGTGAAGCTAATTCCTATCCATATGATTTTCATTTTAATGACTCAAACATTTTAATTTCAATATGTTGTGCAGGCAAGCGTCTCATCCTAACAGATGCTATAGGCAGTGAAAACAGCTGGTATTCATTTGGGAAATCGAGTCAGTCTGCCATCACTCACCTTGACTCACGAACTCACACACATGCACACAGACATTGAGTCTATGGTTTCATCCTCTGAGGGACACTCATCAACATAACCCCTTGCCCCATACTCTAACCTTAAACATCATAACAAAATGCATAACCTCAAACCTTAACCTTCTAGCCTGGACCCTAGAAATGTTAAATCTAAATTTGTGGGGACCTCAATCTTTGTCCCCACAGTGTTGATTCGGGTTAAAGTCTGCACTTTGCACAGCTATCCTTGTTAGCACAATGCATTTACTTCCAGTCATACAGCCTAATCAATCAATCATCTCTAACCATGACTTATTATTACCTAACCCTTAAAAGGTTCTGTTTTCAGATATGACCTCAGAAAGAAGTCGTGAGAATTAGGTCTGGACTTTCTCCCCAGTTTGCCTTTCACACATGCACAATGCAGCAGGATGTTCTCTGCTCAGATGCATTTTCAGCAACAAAAAACTCTCCAGAGGCTTTAAGTGAAAGGTGGTGCAGCAAGTAGAGGCAGGATGTAACGTATTAATTCTGCTGCACAGATCACATGATTTTGTTTACAGCACATCAAGCCCATATCACCAACATCTTCGTCGGTGTCTCCGACTTGAATGACACCATTTTTTCATTCAGAGATATTCTTATTTTTTCTCATGCACCCTTTGAGAGAATCTCCGGCTGTGCTGCTACAGCTTCTCTGGCTCCACCAGAATTTCTACAGACTTTATACTGAGGGACTGGCCGGAGAAAGTCTGCAGACAGTCTGGAGGCTCTCATCAGACAATTTGTATTCAGTGCGTTTGAAAGCGGCGGTTTACAGTGCTGTGTTTTATTGCCTACTAACCTAACCCTAACCACAATTCACATCATCCCCATAACCTTAACCAGGACCAGGCCTATGTCCCCATGAGGTCCACTGGTTCTGACAGGGTCAGTGTTTATGCTGGAAAAGGTCCTAAAGAGCCAACAAAAACAAGCACGCACACACCCGAGGGAGTCCCTGTGTGATACTGTACTGTCTAAGCTTCACTCTTCCGCTGAGGTGTTTGGTTGGAGCGGGTGGATGTTTGCCCGTCACACACCGTGTTCACATTCCTGCCTGGTTCCCATGCAGCAGACAGCAGTGAGCCACCTGGCCATGGGAAAATCCCACAAGTTTTAGAGCACAAAGTGCAGTGGGAGGCAGTTTCATAGTAGACTCACACTAATTAACTGCCTTTAAATCAAAGTTGAACTCTGTCTGTGTACAGAACCCAGCATCAAAGCTACTGACAATGTGCTGCCAGTACCACTGTGTCTCACAGGAAAGCCAACACAGTAGCAATATAACAGTTATTAATGTCGGTCACACCGACATGTGTTGAATGGCATCATACTTAAACATACACACAACTGAAACTTCATCAATGAATCTCTGCTTTCTCTTTCACTCCGCACAGTGCTCTTACACACCATCATACAGAGCAAGCATGGCCATAGATTTGTACAGGACTTAAACCATGTAGAGCCATTATGCAACGTGTACTTTGAGTCATGTTAACAGCCATTACTACATGGAAAACATGGTGTCATCTCAGGATTACAGAGTGCCATGCTTTCCTGTACGAAGCCAAGCCTGTAATTTTAGTTACACACACACACACGCAGACATAGACGCGGTTTGTCTACAGTTGTGAGGACACTCATTGACATAATGTAGTCCTGAGCAAGAAGTGTGAAGTAACTAAGAACAAGTACCCTGTTAGTATTCACATTATTTGGACTTTATTTCCCCATAAGGAAGACAAGTCCTCATAATGTGACTGTGTTTGGGTCCCCACAACATGAGTAATATTTGAAACACACACACAGACACACACAAAGGAGTACCTGTGTTAGACTGTGCTGTCCAGCAAAGTAGAATTACTTTCTTACAGTATTCAGGTATCTGTACTTTTTTTTATAATACTTTTTTTAACTTATAACTTTTACTTGATACATTTTGATATCTGTTTTTACTTTTTACATTTTCAAAACTGGCTCCTTACTTGTGTTTTAATGCATTTGAGGGAATCAATTCTTTTTTTAAATCCCTTATTCAAATGAAAAATACTTGAAATACATTGTATACATTTCCCCCTGAACAATTTTCAAGCTCACAAATCTTTTCTTGCTTTAACCTGTTTTTAGTACATAATAGATGAATAGTCCTCAATGTGACATGAGTCACAATTCAAAGCCTGTACTTTAATACTTTACTTGAGTACAAGTATCTGTACTTCTACTTGATGACAGAATGTGTGCACTATTGCCACCTCTGCAACTAAATACCAAACTTACTCTAAAACCTAAAAGTGTTAACCCTCAAACATCCCTGTTAAGTTGTGAGGACCGACCAAGAAATGCACACACTCACATAAGAAAGCAGTGTGAACTTTGATATGCCTTCAGAAAATGTGTGATGCATTACATACACATAAAGATGCCAAACTTGCTCACACTAATTACCACACTCAACACCCCCCCTCCACACACACTCACAGTTATACTGTCTTCCAATGTATACATGCATTGTAACAATTTAACAGCTAACTCGCACGTGTGGAGACAAATTAGCTGTGAATGAAGGGGACTGCACCACTCCCCCCCTTAACATTTTACCATCTAACACTCCCCTCCTCCACAAACACACAGCGCTTGAAGGAAGCCTTACAGACCACACTAACCGCCTCCAGTTCCAGCCCTACTTTTACATTACCTCTCTTATAGAACCAACAATTCCACATTCACATTAGGAGCCTAGATTCTGTCAAGGTGATCTTGTGTAAATTGACTTAAGTTTTAAATTTATTACAAAAAATATCCAGTAACAAACAATATCATGAACACCCTCACCTCTCTGCTGGATGCTGAGCTGAACCGCTGTGCGTACAGTCCCCACAGGGCTGACTGCCTGGCACTCATACTGGCCCTCATCGTGGGCTGCCACCCGAGTGATACGGAGAGTCCCAGAGGACAGGACCACGTGGCGGCGATCCAGTGGCAGAGGACTGCCCCCCCTTGTCCAGGCGATCACTGGTTGCGGGTAACCACTCGCCTCGCAAGGAAAGTCCACTGTGTGACCCTCCAGCGCTGACTGGTCCTGTGGTGTGAGTGTGAACTGGGGGATCGCTACAGACAGAAAGGAAAACAGAAAATTCTGTTATATTTTTAGCGAAACTAAATCTTGAGTGTTGTTATGACTGAGTAAACTTTGTATAACATGATGACATCCTGTAAAATCTCAATCACAGTACCGGCTGTTTTTCTTCCAGGAGCACCACGTCAGGCTTGTGTTTTTGGTTTTTCTATAGTTTTCTTGTAGAATGCCACGTATTTAACAACAGTCTCAATAATCGCCCTCCAGGAGCCTTCTGAGAATCTCTATGTCCCTTCATTAATACAATAATGAGGGAGCATAGAGATGTCTATAGAGACTGACCTGTTTGCAGTGTCTTGCTTCCAGCGGATCCATATTTGTGTTGTGTTAACTGTGTGTGATGCACAAACCAGCTGAAAGGACGCCGTGCACCAACAGAAATTACATAATTTCTAGCGCGTGCCCTCGCAAGAATAGACTGGAAAAGTCAACATAAACTAGGCTTCACACTCGCATCCATGGAGAGTTTAGAGTCTCCAATTAACCTAAGCTCAGTCTGCAGGTCTCTGGACTGTGAGAGGAAGCCAGAGAACACGGAGCAAACCCACACAGACATGGGGAAAACATGCAAACTCCACGCACAATTTTACAACGACTGGAAAGACAATGCACTAAATGTAAGAAATGTATATCCCCCTATAAAAATACATTATGTTTTAATCAATATAAATGTTGTTGATTCCTACCTTGTACAATGATATAAGCTGTTGCATGTATGGTATCAACATTATTGGAGGCAAAGCAGGTGTATTGTCCACCATCTGCTTGGTCCACGTTCTGAATGAAGAGGCCTCCAGAGGGTGTGATGTTGATGCGAGCGTCGTTGGGCAGGGGTGTGCGGTCGCCCTTTGTCCAGGAGACCCGGGGCTGTGGCTGGCCAGTGGCGCTGCACTCCAAGGTAATGCTTTCTCCCACCAGCACCTCTGTGTTCTGCGGCTGGATCACAAAACTCGGCCGTGCTGGGGGAGCAGGTCGAAAGAGTAGATGGAGGAGAACAAGGCGAATGAGGTTACATAAATTAGGTCACAGGTGAAACCATTTTTCATGTGGTCTGAGTCATTTCAGGGTGTGAGGTAACCAGAGATGTCCCTCAGTAAACACACGGAAAATGCACAAAAGAAGGTTCGCATTTCTTAAGGTTCGGATGATGCACAAAGGTCAAATTTGTATATTTCTGTCAATAAACGCCAACAACTTCCTTTATGTGTCACAAATGTGGTCACGTCCTGTCCATATTTGGCCAATGATTACAGTCGACTTCAAGGAAATATTTACACAGTGAGGGCCCTGACGTTTACAATCACAGGGAGACAGGAAATGCACAACATCTGCTCTCAGAGACTGTTCCTTAACAAGGGCTTGTCACTAGGGCCATACGTCACCCGAGAGATGACCCCTTGAGGTCATCTGGAGACGGCCCTGCTAATCTCCCACAGCGGCGACCATTGGGACTGATTGATGTGTAAGTGCTGCTTAAGTGTCTTTATATGCCAGGCAGAAGAAAGAGGGAAGGAGTAACAAAGACAGAGCACAGAATGTACTTTTGTGTGCCTATGTGCGTGTGTGTGAGAATGTGTGTGTGTGTGTGTGTGTGAGAGAGAGAGAGAATGTGTGTGTTAATAAAATTCACAGGAGTGCCAGCAGGCTTTGCTCACAGCTCAGTGGGACATCCCAGTTATTTGACCTGCTGAACTCTGAAGTTAACCTCAGAGCTACTCCGAGGGCAGACACCTTGCTCCAGTCTCCCTACATCGTCTCACACTGAGACCCAAATGTCACTTATTAGATTATTTGCCTGGACACTGCTGTAACTCTGATGTCCCCATGAAACATAACATATAGTTCAAGATTTTGTCTGATACAAGCAGAGGTTGACAGTAGCCACTTACAGGGGGCTCCAAAATATCGCAGTGTGACCTGTGAAGTCTTGACCTCCCCCGCCACGTTTTTGGCCATGCATTGGTAGACGCCCTGGTCCGTCTCCCTGGTGTCCTGGATCATCAGCGTCCCGTCTTCCAGCAGGTTCAGGCGACTGTCATCACGCATGTTTAGAGCATTGCTGTGAGGGGTGCACAGAGATACACATCTCTCAGTGATGTCTGTGCAAGTGCTGGCATAATCCCACAACCTTTTAAAATGTGAATGGTAATTTAACATCAACCTTAAAACTGTAACTAGATATTATTATGGTTCATACCTCTGCCAAGGCCCAATAATTTAAATGGGGTTTCATAGGCACCCCTATGAAACCACATTTAAATTAACTGGATCCTTATTTTGATTTGGATTTGCACTAAATTACACACATAATTATCAGTCCCCTAAACATGTTGGATATGTCTTTTTCATACACGAAAAAATGCTTTATGTTAAAGACTTGAAAATCCTGGATCTGCTCCCTGATCTGGATCAGCACCAAAATTGTATGGATTGCTCCCTGACACATACCACATCCTTCCACTAACTTTCATGGTAAACTATCCAGTAGTTTATGCATAGTCCTGCAGACGAACATACCTCCTTGGCAGAGGTAACTAGCTTACAAACAGCCAAATCCTTTGGTGACATAACATCAATCAGAACATGAGGTGTCCTACTTGTTCCTGAGCCAGATGATCTGTGGTTTGGGGTTGCCTTCAGCCCTGCAGGTGAAGTAGACAGTGTTCCCTGATGTGACGTCGACATCCTGGGGCTCTGAGGTGATCCTGGGGACCTCTGGAGAAGGATGTCAGATGGGAAAGATAATTAAACACAGATGTAAATGCATGTACATTCATATGCATGTGCCTGAATCAAGCCTCTGGGGAACCTGGACAGGATATTTCTATGGATGTGATGAGGCTGAGCCAATCACATTGTTGGGGCAGATAGTCAGAGACAGTTAAACTTTATATTTCCTGAAGCACCACATCTGAACATAGCTGATATCATCTGCCTCATATCCCACCGCAGTGTGTGTGCAGGGGAGTGTGTTACTGCAAACACAAACCATTCTTGAGAAAGCCACTCAAACTAACTCAAACACTCATCTTGCAGTGTGGTTATGGCTACGATGCTGGCCACTCTTTACCATTATGCACACATTCTTACGTAAGGAAGGACTGAACAAAACCACAACATTCTTTAAAGAAAGACAAGCTCCCACACTCTCTGTGGCTCCTGCTCCACACACACATATGGCAGACGCATTTCAAATGTTTCTGTCTACTCTGCGAACATAAAGAACAATATACACCAGCAGGTAAACCCAACCTAAACCCATAAGCTTCTGAAATTCAGACGAAGAATATCGACCCCCCTTTTTTCCACCAAATGACTCCACATTAAAACTTGGGCTCGATGCAGTGGGATGGAAATCCTGTTTGCGGTAATCCAGCCTCCATTGAGGCCCAATGAGGAGGTGAGCTTGGCTCATCAGATACCACTTGTGCAGGGAGGTGGCACTTCATCTCAAGGAGGGTGGCTGTTTTGACAGCTGTTCAACCCTCTGTGCATTGTTTCGCCCCACTGACAAGGGGCGAAGAGGGAGAGTAAGGAGAGAGGGAGGTGTGGCTTCCACCATGTTGTTACGCAGACATTCTTCCCCTGCTGCCTCGCTATGTAGGCAGATGGAGTTGAGGGGGGGGGGTTGCATTGAGCAAGAATGGGCACGTTGGGGCCATCAAATTAGCTGCTGAGATTTAACTGTGGTTAGGTTACAGTCAGCTGCCAACTGGCTCAGACTGCGACGTTCAGAGAGAGCTGATTGAAACACAGAATTTACACAGTTGGATTTACTGGTATAGGAACTAACCGCCTGTTAGAGAAACCCACTGAAACCTAATCGCACAAATGCACGTGGAAATGTGCACTTCCTTCTCTACTTACATTATTAAAGAGCATGAAAATACCAAGTGTAAGACGTGTGCTTAAGCTTGTTTTTGCCTAAAATCTACAGGATCCTTTAAACATAAAAACAGAGCTCAACAGCATAGTTCCAGGCCTGGTTCCAAACTTAAAACACTTTATGTAGATCTTCTGAAACATCAATGGAGTAAAGGAAAGGGAAATCTACTTCAGGAACCAGAGCCGTTGTACAAGTGGGTCAATATTACTTTGTTGAGCAGTCACTAATTTCTAGAAATATTTCCCTCCTCACATTCACAGTAGTTAGGATCAACTTTGATTAACGTTGGCCACACTGGATTTCAGTGGTGACAAGTTTTCCCAGCAGAAGAAAAGTTTCTGCCAAATCTGACTGCAGAGAATTTTCCTAACTTTTCACAGCCACTTGTCTACAAAGGATTTGACACTTTCAAAATGATAGCATGATAACTAAATCCTCGTGTACTCTTCATATTGTTCTAATTATAAAATAAATAATGGAATTCTGTAATAAGTAGTAATATTCAGTTTTATCCTTCATGATAAAAGATTTACATTTTTTACATTTGAAGCCATTCAAAGAAAGTTTCAGCGCCACTTTCTACAGTGGTGACACACAAACACACACACAAAGCATCCCCGTCTCATTGATGAACAAAGCAGCTGCTGGTGGTTTGATACTGCAGAGACCGGAGGCCAAATTCAGGGGGTCCTGACACTTAATCCTGACCAGACACACAGCTGCTGGTGCATGAACACTGAACCAGCTGCTGCCTGCAGACACAAACAGAGTATACACCTGTGTGTGTGTATGCATGAGACGGGGTGACTTAGCTTACCTGCGATCATGGCAGGAAGGTCAGAGGTCTTGTATATAGACTGACAATTTGTTCTTGTGTGATGCATGTGTGTAAGAGTAGACACATGGAAAACACATGTCATAATGGAGCCATGTGTGTATGGCTTCATGTTCCTCTCAGTTCAAGACTAAATGAAGTTTCTATAGGTTGGTCCTCCCTTGTAGTGTATGGATGATGGTATGGCACATTTAAAATCAACACATTTACGCTATAATTGGCAAAACAATGGATTTTAGTGAATGACCTTAGTCCTGAGATGAACAGTGCTGTTTAAATCAAGTTTTTTATTATAAATGTTATTTATTAATATAATCATTTTTGAAAAAATCTGCCTAGGAGGTTACGTTGTCATCTGTATAAATTAGTCTATCTGGTAGTTAGCAGGATTATGCAAATACTACAGGACCAACTACCACAAAAGAAGGAGAAGGATGCAGTATGTGTCAGGAAAGAACCCATTAAACATTCATGTGGATCCAGATTTTATTTTATTCACTTTCTTAAACATTCAAAGATTAAATGGGTGTTTCTCAACATTGTAATTAATTTATCAGATTAAAATCAGGACCAATTCAAATAAATAGCAAGATCTTCTAAATTTAAAAGTGGTTTTATTAAGGGGATTATTGGGCCTTGGCGGAGGTGTGCCCACTACTAAACGCCATTTCACTGGTTGATATTTTATAAATGTCAGGCTCGGTGGAAAAACGTACCACAGTTGAGCTCCTCAGCGGTGAGCGTCGCCACCGATCTCCCCTGCAGGCGGCTGGGGTAGTCGCAGGTAGCTGCGGCCTGGGCATTTCCCGACTCAGCGTACTGCTTCAGCAGGTCGGCCAGCCACAGCAGCTCACAGTCACAGTTTAATGCATTGGAATCTAGTCGCCTGAAACACACACAAATATACACAGAGCAAGTGAGACATGGATATGTATTCCATATATAACAGTATGCGAGTTGTAACGGCAGGGTTGTGTGTGCAGCAGTGATGGGAAACTGCAGTGTAGCAGCTTATAAACTGAAACTTGTCTGGCATGGTCAGGCACAGCCCTGGTCAGTATAAACAGCAGGGCTCAGCCGGACCATGTTGGAAGACTCTCTCTCCCCTGTCGTGGGAAACTATCTGTCTGCCTGGCCTCGTCTTCTAGTAACTGCTCCAGCTCTCAGTTCTACCACAGTGTGTCCATTATCCATGACGTGGCTCTCAGAACATTCAACTGGCAGAGTTTTAGGGAGTGTGAGGCTGAGCTCTCTGTGTGAAGAAAATCATCTTATGAACATATTAGACCTTTATACTCACTCAGCCGTTTTAGATATTTTCATATCCTTCAACTGAAAAATGACATTATCAGAGTGAGCTTCTCTCATAGACTGTATATATAGATGGTTGACATGATGGCGCTCCAATAGTGAAGCCAAACCTCCTTCATTGTCCCCTGGTGGCTGGCAGCAGTACATGTCATAAATCCTGCCTCCTCCATGTTAGTTAATGGGACACAGACCAAACTTAAAAAGTCAAAGGAAATGGTTCCTGCAAACAGTGGCTATAGGTTCAGTTCCTACTCAATTGTTTGCTGTGTCTTTCCCCACATTCTCTCTTTCTTTACCTCAGAAAAGGTCCTTTTATTTAAATACTTTATATTTACATCGATGGGGTCCGCTCTACGGAGGCCGCCATGTTTTTTTACATTAGTCCAGACTGGACAAACTAAACACCTTTTGAGTTTTTATGACAACTGACGCTACCACAGGTTCTTTTTCATGTTTGGAAGGAGAGGGTGAGGTGAGGGGTGTTCAGCTGCAACATGTAACTTCAACACTAGATATCACAAAATTCTACACACTGTCCCTTAAGTGTGTGACTCTTGATCAACAGCTCGCCACCATGATCGCTACAGTGCAGACTGTGGCTATAAATGTCGTCATCATTGCAAGATGGAGGCCTCGTATCCAGGATATTTTAGTTTAATTGTACTACGGCAGGAAGTGGAGATGTGTCGACCATTTTTATAAATGCTAAAAGGCTCATGTACGAAAGAGGTAAGATGGGAGAAATAATGAGATGATCTTCACTATGTGATGGGTGAAGGACGAGGGTTTTTTAAAAGTAGGGCTAAATTACCCCAAATTCTCATATTTCAGGGAAAACTAACTTTTTTTTGTGATGATAGACAATGAAATTTAGATTTGCTTAGCTTTTCTCATCAAACCCCAGCCCACACAGTCTCCTCCGACCTCCGCTGGAGCTGACTCATCGAGAGAGAGGCAAAACTATGGGAAGGACAGTTCCGTCACGCAGCCAAAGGAGCGTGAGAACAGTGTGGTGTGGTTAGATGGCATTTAACCGGCAAACAAACTCCATTTGATATTGAGTGTCATGAGGGCAACTGCAGAAATAAATGTGGACATGCATTCTCACACAGCTGTTTCTGTGGATGTTAAGGAACTTTTCCCACTTACAATCGCTTCATGGCCTGAAGATGAGTGAAGGTTCCAGGGACGAGTTGGGTAATTCTGTTGTTGTGCAAAAACCTGAGAGGGGGAGAAAAACAATGATTTTTCAGTGTCCATGACTACACAGCAAACTAGAACTACACAGAGGAGTAGCCTCTTTTCATACGAGTCTATAAATGGCTCCACAAAATTAAGAGTTTCAATAAACTTGAGGAATTAACTGTTTTCTTTTAGGAAATAACATGAGACATTTTGATGTCTTTAAACAAATGTTGATGATGTCATTTGTTAATATCACATTCCATTTTCAAAATGGGACAAGAAATATGATCATCTTCCCAGACATGCTTTGTGCTCAACATGATGACCCCTGAGACTCCTTGGCTAAAAGCAGAGAAAAAAAAAAAAAAGTGACGTTCTCCCCAAAACTTTCCCTCAGAGCGGATTAAGATCATCTTTGTTGTACTTGTTGATCTCATGTCCCCACCTTTAGAAAGCTGATCTACAGATACGCTCTTCGGACATGTTGCCAAAGTAGCTGCTTTGGCCGTAACCATGGAGATATTCTCAAACAATCCACAGAGTGAGTGAGCACCTGGGAATTCCTTTTATCCCTGTTCCCCATTTTGTGTTTTTTTTGTTTTGCAGGTGTCCTTCCATCTGCTCACCCTCTCCTGAGACTGGGAAGTATGGATATATTGGGAAGTTGCTGGCCCATAAACAGAGACAGTGATGCAGGAATTTCATGGGACTTTCTTCAACCCTTTGACATCTGCTGCAGAGTTTCAGAATCATTGATGCTTGCTGAGAGGAGAGTTCATATCCAGAGCTTTCACAGGCATTTCTAGGGACTAACAGGTTACATATGAAACAAACTGGTAATCTGTGTGCGAGAAAACCATGTTTTTCATTTTACTTACAAACATTGCAAACTCTACATCGACACTAATTTGTTTTAGTTTTAAATCACTTGTCCTGCTATCCACACTACTCTGGAGTTTTCAAACCCCTAAAAGAAGCCCAAGGTCATTTGCTAAAGGCTCAGTTTTAGGGGTTTGAAAACTGTGGAAACTTTTAAACAGTTTTAAAGATTGTAGTCATGTCCAACTTTATTAATGTCACTACTTAATATGATATGAAGTTGTTACACATTAAGAGTCTACAGGACAAAAGTAAAATTAGTAGCGATGCGAACACAAAGTATTTTCCAGTCTCCTGATCCTGATCCATTTCCTTCAATACTGGGTCCAGTATCTCCATCCATCTCAAGTTCAACATGATATTTATTTTAACAACAATGTTGATATGCACAGTATGTTAAATATGCATCTGACACAGATAATTTCAGTCTACCTTATTTTTCATAAGCTACTTGATCCATATAGAGTGAAAAATTACAGAGTTGATATACTCAATGGAGTGAACTTTTCATGATTCACAGCTGGTGCCTGTTGCATCTCCTCAGTTAAACGTGTAAATGCCAGAGGAAAAAGGTCTTTATCAGGGATCAAGAAACTGGTTAACTTACACCTTTACTGCAGCAATGACAGTAACTGAAGCATGAAAGTTACTGTAAACAGGTCATACAGATGTTTTCAACTTAAAAATCAAAGGCAGTATTGGAGCAATTGGGAAAAAAAACAAAGAGAAGGAGAGGATTCCATGATTCCTTGTTTTAAGAATATCCAGTTGTTTATTTGTATACGCTTTAATTTAGACTCTCTATTTCTTTCAGACTTATGGGACACAATAATAGCAAAAAATCCTCAAAAAATCAACTTACAGTCGTTCCAGCTTCGGTAGATGTGTAAATGATTCTGGTTCCAGAGACTCAATGTTGTTGAAGTGCAGGTACCTAGAGAAGAACAAAGTGTAAACACAGCACAGTAAAAACTGGGTTAGGGCTCCCTGTCTGACTAATCATATTTTTACAGGCCCTAAGAGGTGGATCAATGAGACCACACAAGTGTTTCACTGGACCTCCTGTCCATCCCTGGCAGTTCATACTACTGAAATAATCAGAAATGTTGACACGAAGCTGTAGATGAATGCAAACAGACCAGAGGCATTAATCTCACAAAGTGTGATACCGAGTCTATAAATCTATGGATGGAGGCTGGTTTGAAATTAGACTGAGAAATGAACACAACCATTATTTTGCGAAAAACTGTACAAGCTGAATTACCAACTTTTCAAGAACTGCATTTGAGCTGAGCAAACAGATCAAACCATATTCTTACAGATAGAAGCTTGGGAAACGAAATCCATATAATGGCTGTATGGTAACTGTAAGGGTTCAGGTGGGTGTCTGCAGTTTAGGAAGGGAAAGCAATGATTAAAAGTAGCTGCAAAACAGAAAAACACAGAAAGACTGAAGCAACATAGACTGTAAAACCAATTCCAACTTTCCTCTAAATGTCTTCCAGAAAAGAAAATCCATTAAAGTTTTTTCTCTATGTTAATTCTTGGCTGTGTTTTTACAATCTGTACTGAACATCCAACATTAAATCTCCGGGTGTTGCACTATGGGAGTAAGTATGTGTTGCAGTGGGGCTACAACACAGTGCAGACAAGTGAAAGAAGTTTCATAAGGAATCCAGGTGCAAATTCATTTTAGCGCCACTTAATTGCCCTTTTGGAATTAGTGTTATTTTAATTCACTTATACCAGAACAACTGGTACAATCTTTATACAGGGCGAATACATGCTGATAAATGTGGGTGTGTAAATGAATGGAACTTACAAAAACTTTTAGAAACAGTCCAGTAGATCAACCCCTCTGGCAGCTGTGACACAAAAGCCATGGCTACAATGAAATGTCTATGGGGCAACTGCTACAGTCCAGAAAATGCCCTCTGTAAGTCCTTTCTCTTCACCAATTAAAGTCTCTATGTCTTTGCTAAGAGTCTGTCAACATTACACGTCTTGTTATCAACTGTGCAGAAGCTCGTTGTCCTCCCTCTGCTTGTTGCCTCTCTTCCTCCTTGTTCACTCGTCCGTATCCTCTGTCGTCCGTAATCAGGACGACCTCGACATTGGAAAACGATGCCGCCATAAAAGTTTCTCTCAGTAAAATCCAAACTCCTCTCTCCTCCTCTCTCACTCACATTTCCACGTTCCTCTTCCTGCAACAACCCAAGTCTCACAAGCTCTGAGAATGATTCTTAAAATCCTCGACATGGCTTGTTGAAAGTAAGTATCATGCTCAAGTGAGTGAGACTTATCGTTGAGCAAAACGTGCAATATGTTGCCAGGCTCTTAGCAAAGACCCAGAATAACAACTTCAACCTTTTATTGGTGGAAAAAAACACTTTTACTGGAGATTTTGTTGCAGTTGCCCCGATTACATTGCTGCCAGTGCCATCGTGTTACGACTGCTGGCAGAGTTGCTCTGCTGGGCCCATTTCAAAATGTTTGCAAGTACCATGCATTTATGCATACTACATTTATAAACACAAGGCTACTTTACATTTCTGTTTCTGAAAATCATTTTTCTATTCAGTGTGGTCTTTCTATGATCACTGACAAACCCATTGGCATGCAGATGAAGAAAACTCAATACATGAATGGTGCATAGGTCTTTAGAGTTATATATATTTCCTTCAAAGATCCGTGTGACTTTAGGTTTTGGCATGTGTTGCCCATTGTGACTGTTGAAGAAAAAATGTGATCTGACTCAAAACTTGTCACCCACAAATAAAAACCCTTTATTATTGTAGCAAAAATGTAAAACAGCTGCCAGGCATGGAGCCTGCTGTTGGAATCGCTTTGACTCCATGAATTAGCCATTTGTTCTCTGTTCATATAGTGAGAGTGAGGCACAGTCTCCTCCAACATTTACACAACAGTCTAATTTACAAGGAAAAGGTGCATACCAGCCATATTTTATGATAATGGTGCACTGACTTATCAACAAGGGATCACTGAGGTTCTGTTGATATTCTGTAAATAAATCAGCTGCTGTTTACATCAAAATCTCCTGTCAAACATGCCAAAGTAGCACAATACAGCAGAGGTAGCACCGAACTAGAAGCTTTTCGGTGTCGGGACTCAAAGCAAGCAGTTGAATTGTAACCACACAGACTAAACACACACAATGCAATGGACATTTCTCACAAATACACACAACAACTGATTACATCAAATTGAAGCATGACGAGCAGTTTCTGCAACAACGAGGAAAGATGCAAGTCAAGCTTTGCTTGGACGGAGCAGAGTTCTGATTCCAGCAGTACTGGCAGCACGGGGGCTAGACATCATGCTTTAAGCTTCACAACGGGGTGGGGATGTGGTGGGTGGTGGCGCATATCTGTTGTCCTGACCACAACACATGCGACTCATGCAAAAGCGGGATCAGCGCGACATACAAGTTTGGGTGCACACACGGCATGCATTGTGGCGGCAGGAAAGGGGCTCACACATGGGAGAGGAGGAGGGGGAAATCTAACTGAACAGAGCTACCATGATACCTGTGTAAGGCCTACACAGTCATGTCAGCTCCAAAAAATGAATATGCCAACATCTGTGAAATGCTTTGTACTTCAGTACATCATATGACTTGGGCTTTTAAATTACCGCTAACCATGCAGACCTTACCAGGACTCATGAGATGTTTATAGCAATCTCACAGGAGGGTGGGGGTAGAGGAATTTTACAGAGAGAGAGAGAGAGGAGGAGGGAGGAGGAGCAGCAGCAGCAGGACGAGGGGAGGGAAAAGGTGGATGAGGAAGTTGGTCACTTACAGTTGCTCAAGAGAGACAAGGCCCTTAAATGCTTGTCTGTCAATTGATTGGATTTCATTCTTGTACAAATAGCTGAAAGGAGAGATAATCAGTAACATTAGTAACACACATACAGGATCATCTGAAATCTACCTTGTTACTGTGAGAGAAAGTAGATCAGTATGTTCACTGTAGATAGACATGTACTCTGGTCATGAGTGGAGGAGGCTCCTTCACGCAAGCTAGTGAGTTTTTAGAACCAGTCACTCTGCACAGTTAAAACTAAGGGTGATATTGTGTTGAGCTTACTGTAACATTACATGTGTAGCTGCCACAGCTCCAGTACTTTTCACACAGTGTGGTCTCTCTGCAGCTACAGATGTGCTTGACTAAACAGAATTAGATATGGGCCGTGCTCCCACAGACTTCAGAGGACAGTTCAGTGTGCGATTGCACTTGGTGAGTGATGAAAGGAACACTGTGGAAAACTTCACACAGTAATGAAGTCGACAAGGGAAACAGAAAAGCAGTTTAACACACTTTGTTGAGGGCACTTTCAAACCCACCTTGTTTGGTCAACAGACTGCGGACCTTCAGAATTTTCAGTTTGACTAAAGTAACCAAAATAGCCACCTCTGATCAAACTGATCCATAATTCGGTTTGTTTGCAGTGTGAAAAAAAGATTTCAATGATATAATGTCTGAACGACAAGGACGTTCATTTTGAGCATTCGAATGAGTGTTGACTTCCACGCCTGAAGTTGGTGATGCTAGTGATAAAACATTTCTGATATTACAGAAGCAACGAATGAGGTTTAATGAAACGTTTCCTAAACTTTCTCCATTCAAACAGAAAGACAGCTGCCCACCAAACTGACTACACGCTGGCATCAGACACACACCTTCCTACAAACGAATCATTGTCAAGTATAGGTAGACGCAGCCCACCTAGATGATGCAGAGCAGAACTACAGTATGTACGTCACATATTAGTCCTTGGTGAGCTTCCTAAATTGGGATGTGAAACTAAAACTAACCAGATAAAATGCATAGAATGTTAAAAAAATTAACCTTGGTTCAGACGTTGGTTCTGACTTTCAGGTACAAAAACGCCCTCTAATTAGAAAAACATAATACTGTATATTATTGTAATTAATGAGTGATTATGTTTGCATTCACATTTCACACGTTTTAATTTTGAAGGAAGAAAATGTGTGCATATATACAGATGTACAGTATAATGTGTGAGTTTCTTCCTTCTCTTAAATGTATTTATATATATATACTTAGTTTGTTTGTTTAAACTCCTATATAATGAATGTAAAGACGGGAATAAGAAACTATAAAAACTATAAACTATAAAAAAATGTAAAATGAAGGAAATACAGCTGCTGAGATGGTGAATGATTCAAATAAAAACGAGTAGGATTTTATCAGTGGACAAACAGTAACTATGATGTCACAAATTCCTCATGTGTCAAATCTTTTCTCCACATGTCTCCACTTTGTTCAATGACTTCCACATTTAAACTTGAAACAGACTGAATGTTTAATGTGCCCTGTATCAGGATCAACACTGAAAGACAAACAACGCCTCCCCGTTAAAGAAACGTGATACAAGGCTTACAGCTGTCAGCCTTTTCATCTCAGCCTCGCCACCTCCCTTTCCACCACTGCGCTCATGACGAAACATGATGAGAGATACAGATCTCCACACAATGCAGTGTAATGTTATGTATGGACAAAAACAACATCATTTTATCACTGCAAACCCATCGAAAAGCTCTCATTTGTCTGCATCAGTGCTATCAGGTTTTGTACCAAGGGAAATGATAAGAGAAGACAAAACATAAACAACTTCATCACATGTAACATGATAAATGATAAAGGCAAATTGAGCTAAAAACCTCAAGCGACAGTCAAGGAGAATTGCTGCTGATTTAATAGTTGTTCCAGAGGCCTTTCTACTAGGAAACAGCTGACAACAAACCAAAAATATTCTAACTACATTTCCATGCAGAGGTTCAGTAAAAATAAAAATTATGGTGAGGATACTTTGGGTCTTAAAGAATAATCAGTTTACTTTAGTGACATTGGAGTGATCTGTATTGTTGAAATAAATGGCTAAAAGATTTAAATTCTTCGCTTCTATTTCAATAACTCCCCGACAGAGCCTTGATGACTCTGTGAATCAATGTCAAACACAGCTGACTGACTACAGCCTTTTGTGTGTTTGTGTGTTTCCCACAAGCTTTGAGTGAGTTTTACTTGCACTGGATTTAGGAGTTGAGAGCTTCACTTCATCATTAACTCATCAAAGTGAAGATAGTTCGCACTTAAAACCACAAATTCAGTATTCTTTCAGTGTTTGTTTTTACCTTGGTTTAAATTTGGGATTTCTCCCGGTTAGTTGGAAACATTTGGGATAAGATTTGAGTCCTAAGAATCTGTTCCTGTAATAAATACACTGGCAGATAATCACAGATGGATGTGAAGCTAGTTAATAATTAGAAAAGAAAGAAACAAATACAGTGTTTGGTTCCCGCACAGAGGCGTGTCGACCTCTGTTTGACTTGTTTATGGACGTGGTCATTGGAATGGGGGGGGGGGGGGGTGTTGTATAGAAATTGGGTTTGGAAGACATGAAAGATGACGGGGAGGGGCCGAGGGAAGTGAGGAGGTGAGAATGGAGATACAATCTTGCCCACAGCTACAGAACACTGAATCAGCAGGAACAGAGGGAGAGGGTGGAGGGGCAACTGAACTCTAATCACAAAGGCTGGGCAACAGTTCAGGCTTTAGATCAACTGCTTTTAAGTGAGAGGAGCTCTGTAATTATAGTTACTACAGGATTACAACATAAAGAGTGGGCTCTTTGTCTGGAATGTTTGTGTCAGTGAGCTGAGGGCAGAACGAAAGGAAACTCCATCCAAACCCACTCTTCTTCACCTCCTCTCTGTCGAGTCATATACAGTGTGTCAGCTGTGTTAGCTGGGCAGTCATGCCACAGTATGTCAGTGTAATGTACTGCACACAGAACTGTATCAGCCCCTGCTCATCTCGGATTTAAATGTGTACAAAACATCTCTAACACACACAAACAAATCAAATATGCCCGTCCCTATCTTGAAGTCTGTGCATTGGAGTGCTGCACATTATGCTGTCCCCTAGAGGAGTCTATGCTAGTTGACTTTTATGAGTAGTCTTTTTCTCAGCTGCCTCGCTGTGATCAGAGTAGTGCAGCAGCAAGTGTGTCAAGCGGTAAACCCGCCTTCAAGTGACTGAACCACAACACTTACAGTGGTGGAGGAGACGTGGGATGGAAACAAAGGGCAGCACATCGCAAAAACCCATGATGTATGACTAACAGTGTTGTCAGCAATCTGACAGGAGAGATACAACTGCTTGCAGACTTCCAGACATGTAAGTATAAAGCATGAGTCAGAGGGAGACTCCTCATTGATATAACACTGCACTAATACATTTTCACTGACTGAGCAGTCTATAGCAAGATCAGCTGTGCTCCTCTTTTATACTCAACATTATTATAATAATTATTTTGGCAACTAAAGTTTCAGACATGATTCAACATGCGTCCTCTCCTGGATAAAGAGAGAACTTCCTACTGAGACTGAGAACACAAATTATCTGACAAACAAGGGCAACTCACAGATATTTGAGGTTTTCCAGGTCTTCAAACGCCCCCCTGGGGATCCTTCGTATATGGTTGTTGTTGAGGAGGCTGTGAAGAGAAGGAGACAGGGTTCATTTTGTGGTTATAAGACAGTGGGACAGTAAGTTTGGTCTTGGCTAATTCTAAGTGAAAGCCATGTCTGAAGACAAGATGCAGAGTAATTTAGTTAGCAGTTGTTTTAATCAGATGACCCCTTACCTCAGTCCCAGTAGGAACATGTTCTTAAAGGTGAAGGCTGTTCACTCTGTTTCACTTCATGGTTTGAAATCACAAGGGCACAGATTTAATATCTTTAATTTATATTTGTAATCTGCACATTTTGTCATAGGCTGACTCGAGAGAAGACTGTGACATTAGTGAAGTATAGTATTTCTATCTGTGTTCAACAGTGACGTTGGAGAATATCACTGTAGTTCAAAGCCTGATATGTCAGAAAAGATTGGCTGCCTGGCTCACAGGAAAATATGGGCTTTTCTCTTACCTTTAAGGACTTCCATTTAAACTTAATCCAAGCCATCATGTCTATATATGTCTGTATATATGCACAACTGGATGTTGTTTATTCATTTAGATATAACATTCTATGTAAATTGATCAGATATGAAGGTGCTGAGATTGAACTTGTTTGTTAGATGTTTGGGCTAAATATGTATTTGTTGCTTAGTTCGTTGTAGTTTGTTTTTTACTGATTGTTCTCTTGTTTTGATTAATACAAAGTTGTGGGGTTTTGTTGTGTCAATGTGGGTAATGTTGAGAAATTTTAATAAAAAAAATAAATAAAAAATGTTAATATTTGTATTGATGCCAAAATGGCAGTTATCCTGTTTCCTTTTTTTTGCACAGCAGAAATGGAAGAGAAAGAATTTCAATAATGCCTGAAAGGTTTGAGTAAGTTGAGGTGTGTTTGATTTATTCTCATCTGAAAAGATTTCCCTTATGTCCTCATGGGCAGATGCACACACACCCTTTCATCATTTCAACAAGGTTGCTAAACTAATGCACAAAAAATACAATACTTGGTACATTTCTCCTTTATTATCTTAGCAATGCACCATCTGGCAGGCTGGACATATGATAAATAGCCCTGTGGGTGGAAGTGGAAAAATAAATTCCTCGCAGATTACGAGCTGACCTACATGTGTGAAACCACAGAACGGAGCAAGAATTTGCCCGTGCGTGCATGAGTGCGCGCATCTGTAACACAAACAGGACTTTCTGAGGAAGTGACAATCATTCTGCAGAGTGCTGTTAAAAGGAAATGGGCTTGATTAATTTTCAATAGCCGCCTTCTTGAGGCACTGGTATTTCTTACTGACAGGATGTCATTACTCTGTTACCACCTTCTACCTCAATATTATTCAGGAAACAATCACATACCAGAGAAAGAGGTTATCCTATGGAAAATATACAAAAGATCACAACTGTGCATGCAGAGTGGAGACCAAGACTTACAGTGTGTTTAGGTTCTTTAATCGCTTGAAGGATCCCGGTTGTATATCCTTGATTTTGTTGAACCTCAGGTCTCTGCAGAAAACAAGGACATATTTGTATAGTTATATTCAGAAACATATATCATAACAAAGCTGCAGAGAAATGCAGTATGAACTCAACAAAGCGAGCAGCGCCCATCTGCGTGAACTCAAGTCCGCGTCAGAACCATCACGCAAAACTCCGAAAGGATAATTGGACACATTACTCATCACACAAGAATGCTTTTGTCGGGCCTAAATCACGAGAGCAGATCTTTATGACATTTGCCCCTAAGATAACAAACCACAAGGCTGAACGCAGCACTTGGCAGGTCACAGTATCAGTCTCCTGTGTAATGGTAATATCGGCTGACATGACACTAATCACCCGCACCCTTACAACAAACGGCTTAGTGTGCCACGAAAAGTGACAAGCTAAAGACTCTAATGCTGCAATTAGCCCAGTGAAGGTAAAAATGATTCCTAACACCGTGTGGCATCACCAGCCGCAGAATGTTCTGTGAAATTTGAACATCCCGTCTCAACGGTGATGTTGTGTTTGAGGAACTCTCAAGTCATCTGACCTTCAGGGCTGAGTGTATTTTTTTGCAAGATAAAGTCTGCAAGTGAACCGGCCATTCAAATCATTAGGATTTCTGGAAGCTAAAGCGTGAATGCATTTAGACTCTTCTGGTAATATCCATGGATGACACCAATATTGATGGGTTTCTACAGGTTTCAACAAGTTATATTTATGACTTTTTAAGAGCGCAAAGAATGCAATTGAAGACCTATGTATGACAGGTATAAAGAATTATCAGAGTTCCCCATAATTGAAGATAAGGTGAAATAACTGAGTTGAGTGAATAACCCTCGAAAACACATTATCTCTCAAACCAAGAGACACAGTGGGTATCCATGGTGTTTATATTTAATACTGGCGCATATAATAGAGTTTTTATGAGAAAAAATTCAGATAATTCAATTTTAGACCTTTTAGGACCCCACAGATTTTTATATTTTAATCCACAACAAGTTACTGAGATCCCCTCCAGCCTCCAAGAGAAACTTGGACAGAAGCACAAAGCAGAGATTTATCTCTGCATTGACGGACGGGAGAACTACATCAGCTTTTCTGACCTAGAAAGCTTAACTCCCACAGTAACAGCTTGGACCGTCTACCGGCATTCTTGATAGTCTATGACCTTACAAAGTAAATACTCCGAGGCTGGGTCACACAGACTTCACTGACTATGCAAAACTGTTGAGACACCAGAGAATCTTCAGATCAGAATTTTTACAGTTTTGGGCGAAAATAGAAAGCAACGTGAAACCCATCCCAAGCATACAGATTTTATTTAGATGCTGTATTCATGCATTAGCTTAGCATTCGTTGTCTGTTTCTCTCTATGCTCAACTGTTAAAGAACCAAAAGGCTATACCTTCCTGAGGTTTTTGCCATCGTGTATTACTGTGAAAATGTGAGCCAAAAAAATAAATGATAAAAAAACCCAATCTCAATTCATAGCCAGTGAAATCGTTATGGGTCATTTGCTCTGTAAAAGCCTTCACATATGGATCCAATCAGAGTGAATACAACATTTCAAATGGGGACTTTTCTGTAACTGACATGCTTTGGATACATAAGCATTAGGATACGTAATCCAATCAAAGATGTTACGATTATTAAAAGTAAAGGAAAAGGAAGCAGTACAATGCCTCTGAGAAAATGTAGGTCTTTAGTTGAGATAAAAAGAATTGGGTTACAATGAATGAATCCACAGTTCTTACAATAAAGCCGTTTTCAGAACTCTGGAAAATGTCTAGACAATGGGGTCCGTGCTATATTTACAGTTTTAATCATATGAAGAACGCAGCAGGAAATCCTTTGTTCAGACCTGTTCACAACAACCGAATCATGGAGCATTAAGGTGAGGGGGTGGCACAGGAGGCAGGGTGTGACATATCAATTCCACTGCGGAGATCATGTGTCTTTATTTAAAGCACATCCACAGCAACAAAGGTCCTAATCACCAAAAGCTCTCTAATCTCATTGTCTGTCCCAGTTCACATCTTCATCAGTGTTTTCCACATGTATGGCAACTCTAGAGCTATTTCAGTTCTTCAGCAACACACCCATTGGTGTGTGGAGAATCTCCTGCTGCTCACATGGGGCACATTATCTGGAGTTTTTACTAGTGGGCTAGAGAAAACTCCAGAGAATGTCCAGAGCCTTTGACTCAGTGATTTGTACATACAGCCCCTAGGATAGTTTCAGGAGACAATCCAGAGTTTATTGCATGTCTGAAAGTATCTTGAGGGAGTTAAATTAGGAGAGATTAGCCCTAACCCTAAGAAAACTGTTAAACAGTCACAATCTTTCTGAATGGACCAAGGATTGAGTGTCTTTAATGAAAACAACAGGGATCACTGCTCGGTGAAGAGTAAGGAAAACATATCTCTCCAGGCAACGGGTCCAGGAGGGTGCAGAGTGCACTGCCCGGACATGCTGAAGGCAGGGGCTGTCCCGCTCGTGTGCCTGCCTGCCTCCGGCTCTGAGGGATGAAGGCAAGGAGGAGAAAGCGGAGAGCAGGGTTGTGTGCTGTTTTACGCAGCTCCTGTCAGTGGAGCATAGTGCACGTACATAAAAGCAGTGGTGCTAATCTATGCTACAGGAAGTTTAAAGTAAAAGGGAGAGGTCATGCTTGTCCCAAAAACTTCCTTTTAAAGCTTGAACTGAACTAGCTGAACTGTAATAGGCTTGAACATTGTTACTCAAGTATAAAAGCCTGGTATAAAAAAGTGAAATGTTCAAATCTACTAAATGTTAAGAAAACCTTTGTTTTAATTGCATTTTGCTTAATTTGAAATCATAGGAACATTTCAACAAACTCAAAAAGTCACCAGCTGCAGCTGTAACTGTGGCAACATCCATGCTACTATGTTTGCATCTTAGTTCTGGCTCGATCTAGCTCTAGTCCCCATTCATACTAACCTGAAACATGTGTGGATGTAGCATGTAGCTTTGATATCAAGCTACTGCAGAATAATTGTTAAATCAGTAACAAACACCCAACATTTTTCAACGGCAAATACATAAAAAAACCGAAACAACTGACTAATTAGATCAATGTCTCTACCGGGCCCTTTGAAGCACAATGAAGCTAAATGGTAAATGGATTTTATTCTATATTCACTTTTTTTCTTAACCACTCTTAAGCTCTTTACACTACAAGTCACATTTGTGAATTAATACACTGCAAGTATATGCTGCACTTTTCCCTATACAACACACCATTCATGCACTGCCGGTCCAGCCTTCAGGGGCAATGTGAGGCTTAGCATCTTGCCCAAGGACACTTCAGCATGTGCAGTGGAGCAGCCAGGGATTAACCCATCAACCTTGGTTAGTGGATGACCCACTGACCCTCCTGAGCCACAGATGCCACAGATGTGTACATGTGAAGTTTTTAGAACTTGAATATAATTTTATTTGGTGACACTGTGGAAACTCTGCAAATCCTTTCATGGATTAACATCAAAAAGAATTATTATACAACATTCAGGTCGTTAACTCAATGAATGTTATTTAGGTTGTGTGTGTGTGTGTGTGTGTGTGTGTGTGTGTGTGTGTGTGTGTGTGTGTGTGTGCGTGCAAA